GATACCCCAAGTGCTTAAGCAAAAAGAAAATCATAACAAAAATTTTAAATCTTAAGGAAATGCAAACCTTGTCTAAGTAACATAATATTGGCAATATTTGTGCCAGCACTATTTAATTATTAAACTAGGCTTAAGCTGCAATGAATCCTCTAGTTTTTAGACGCAACCAAGTCTTATGCATATAAATTTTTCTATATAATCGAATCATTCTGCATGTGGTCATAAATAATGATTATTTTTCAAATTCATACATTCATGTCAGCTATGTATATACATATGCATATGTATGTAATTGATATAGCTTTGTTACTTGGTCTGCGCTCTTAATCCTTTTTATTCTCGTAATTTTAATTTTATTTGTTCGCAAATCTTATTCGATTTAAGTTGGAGCTAAAATGGGGCTCAAATGCATTTGTGCAGCTACATATATTTATATGTATGTATATGTGTATGTTATGTATACATCAATTTTTTTTTTTTTTTTAATTTAGTTAAATACACAAAACCAAAATTTTGAAAGAAATAATTCTCTAATTGTATTGTCTTCAGCCGTTCAAAATGGCTGCCATCAACAAGATCAACAACAGCGTTGCCACCTATAAGATCATGGAAGCAAGCTTCTAATAGTTATTTGCAACAGCTAGATCGTTTTCAAACAAAAATCTACTTTTGTTCTTTCAATTTGCAAGTTTTGTTTTAGACAAGAAGTGACTGCTGCCGTTGGCTTTAGTGCTTACGATATTTCAACGCTGCTTGCAATTACAAGAAGTGCACACTTCCGCTAACAAAAAACCCGAAAATCCTATCGATAAATGAGCTGCATATGTATCGATAGTGGTGCTGCCCTGGTAATCAAATATACGAGACGGCGCCAATATTCAATTTAGTTTCGAAATGGCTATACAAAGGCGCGCTTCATACTTAAATTAAAAATCTTGTTTAAAACTTATTTCGCTTTTTATTTTTGTTTTTCTTGACAGTTTTGCCAACTGGACCTTTCTGTGTCTTTGCGATTTTCTTGGTTATGAGGAATTTGAGACGCTTTTTAACCTGGTCATAATTTTCGTTCTCCAGCTCTGCTGTACTCGACTTGAAGAACTTGGCACCTTCTGCAAGATATAAATAAAGTTAAAGACACATTGTTCACCATATGTAGTCGATTCATACCTTTAAGTCTGATATCGTTTTTCGGTATAAAGAAAGATTCTATAAAGATTTTCGGCTTCTTTTTCTTCTGCTTGCCTGGCTTCTCATTTTCCTTAGCCACCTGCGATTGCTCCTCCTCCTCTTCCTTGGCCTGCGGCTGCTCCTCATCTTCGCTATCGGAAGAGTCGTAGCTGAATGGATTCACCTGACCCAGACCCAGTTTATTGGACTTATTGACCAATATCTTTTCATGGCCTAGCTTCTCTAGCTGATCCTGTCGCTGTGCAACCGCTTCCTCATGGCTGCTGCCAAACATTTCCAGCAGGCTGAAGCCTTCACCGCGCGTCTTCAGCGATTCCTTGAGCGTATCTGTGACCACGTAGAAGGAGCTCTGTGAGACTGGCGCTGGCTTGGTACCTTCTTCTTCTGTCTGCGCCATTTCGTTCTTCTGCTTTGGCTGTTGCTTGACTTTCTCCTTGTCCTTGTCCTTGACACGCACCATCTTCTGGTGCTCCTCTTTGGCCGGATCATAGCGCAACATTTTCTTATTTTTGGCCACCTTCGCCGCTGTCGCAGTGGCTGTGTCTATTTTGCGGCCAATCACCTGCTCTAAAATGCCCATCTGCCAATCGCGCTCGTTGTCCTGGGGGTTCTCCGTCTGCTCTGGCTCATCCTGCTCCTGATCGTCGTCGTCTTCGCCCACAAAATTGGCTGTTATACGAAATCTGGGATCCAAGCTCTGTTTACTTTGCATTTCCACCAGACGTTCGCCCTTTTTGCCACTGTGCTGAGGCAGGACAAACTCTTTCTCCTGCTCATCGCCATCCTCATCGTCGAACAGATCTCGTCCCTTTGGCTTCTGCACCTTAATCTGCTCCACCTCTTCGTCCTCTTCGGCATCGCTGAACTTGATGCGCTTCGATGTTGGGGCCTCGGCCGAGGCCAATGCCTGCTGAATGAGCGACTTCTTTTGCTGATGCTGCTGCTTCATTTTATTCAGCGACTCTTTGCGCTTTGAATCTGCAATTGAGGCTTTGGCATCCAGCTGTTTGGTGCTGGGCTTCTTTTGCTGCTCGATGATGTGCAGCGGCTTCACATCATGTTCCTGTTGGATGACAATCTGCAAGAGGAGGCAACGAGTTAAGCGCATTTCGAATTCCAAATATAAACAGTTTGTGACGCACTTTGCCATTGTGAATGGAGTTGGCGGCACGCTTCTTGGTTATCAACAGCTCAGGCGCCACTTCATCATCGTTGATCTCCTCGTGTTCGCCAAAAACGCGCCGTTTGTTCTGCGTATTTTGTACCAGCAGGCGGGAACTACTTTGATTTGCTTCACTATACGCTGGCTGCTCCTGCTGCTGTTGTTCGTCACGCTCACGCTTCAGACGATCCAAAAAGGATTCCTTGGCCAGGGAGACCTTCAACTGGCTACCATGCAAGCGCTGCCAATTAAGCTCGTTAAGACCTGCAATTAAAATGCAATTATTTTTTATAGTTTCAGTTAAAGTGCCCATCTGCGTCTACATACAGTATTCGGCATCATCTGTCTGCAGCGTCACGAATGCAATAATTTTTGGAATTGTTTGTCCTGAATCAACGAATTGTTCCTTCGTTTTTAGCTCCACACGCTGCACCTGGCCATAATCCTGAAAGAGGCCACGCAGATCCTTCTCTGTTGTGCTCGCCGGTAAGTCGGCAAGGAAGAAACGCGTGCCGCTCATACTTATAGTTAGTTTTTATAAAAAAAAACCTAAGTATTTAAAAATAAAAAAAAATATAAAATACGCGCACGTGTAGGTAAAACAACACAGCTGTTGGCGGTCAGTGCTGTAAAATGACTTTATTTTAGAACATATCGATTATTGGGCTTTTGACGTCAGCAGGTGCTGTTCTATATGTGATCTAATTGGAGATGAAGTCGTGAAGAGATATCGAACGTTAGTCTCGATATATAATTTTGTATATATTTATTTTTTGTTTTAATGTATAGGCTTTTCAATTCTTTAAATAATCTAGACCTTGATTTGAAATTTCGGCACAGTCAAAATGGATAGTTTGTCATGCTCGTCGTGCCGTTAATTGAACTATCGTTACGATTCGATATGTCTTGCGCAAAGACACATCTCCATATACACACACAGTCAGATTTTATTATTTATTTTTGTTTTCTGTGCTAAATCTTTTGGAGCGCAATTTTTACAGATACAAAATAAAAAGATAATGGATAAAACCAGAGCTGGCAGTGCAACGACTTTGGAAAAATGGGGATTTCCATTGCTAGAGCTCTATCGGCTCGCCTTCACCTTCTACAAACGTAAATGCAGAAATTTGTTATGATGTGTCTTGTAATTTGTTAGCATTTTTATGGCTTACATGCGTGTTTGTTTTGCAGAAAACTCTGGCAAGGCCATACATCTGTCTTACGAGGACAATCTCAAGTTGATCGCCTTCAAACAACAGGCCGCCTTGGGACCTTTCAATACAAATCGTGCGCCGGCTCTTGGTGTGCTCGACGTGATCGGACGTGACAGACAGCAGCACTGGCAACTGTTGGGTGATATCACGAGAGAGCAGGCTATGGAGGGTTTCATAGATCTTTTGGACACAATGTGCAGTGCCTTTCGTCCCTACATCGAGGCGGTGCGTCAGAATCGCGATGCCAATCTAAAGGCCGATCTGCGTCGCATGGAACTGGAGAAGGAGGCGCGCGAGAAGCGCGAACGCGAGCAGCAGGAGCTGCTAGAGGAGGGCTACAAGGAGGAATTGCAGCGACGCCAACTACAGGACGCACTCAACAAGCAAACGTATCAGCAATTTAAGGTAATCATTTAACTGTCGCGGCACACGCTATCGATTTTCTAATACCACGTACGCACTACGTGTCGGCAGACAGCCATAACAGCCTTTGAGACTGAGCTTGTGACAGTGGCTGTTAATTGCTCACACATGTTATATAAATATGTTATCTAGTATTTAGCAAAAGATAACTATTTATATTCTATGTGGATTAGCTAAATCGTGAAACAAAGGTAACTTCTGTGATACTATTCAAGCAACTACTGAATCAACTCTGACGAATTCAATTGAAGGTATTCAAAAGTTATTGAAAACTTTCAAGACTGTGCTAAGCCATTTCAGCGTTGAAAATATTTGTTAAGTTTTAATTCATGCATAAAATAGAAAGGTATTAAAGCTTCAGCCGGCTTAAAAGTACCTAAGACCTATAAGGCAAAAGAATGTTACATATGAACCACTAAATTTACTAACTAGAACTAGTTTAGTTATTTGAAAAGGAACCCGTTCATATGAGCTAGTCATATATTTGAGGTCTGATCAAGTCTTGTTTATGAATAAGTATTAAAGAAATTTTCAAGAATAGTGAACTGAACTGGACATACATATATGATGAATATACGGTTATTGGCTGCCTTTCCTTATCCCCTCAACATCATCTACAGGGTATCTCACAGTCAATAACAGAGTCGCCAACACCTTGTGGGCGCAAACTGTTGCACCTGTTGTGTACCCATCCTTCTAGGCCTTGACAAACACGTCAATAATAAATGCTAATTGCCGACGATGGCGGCTCGAATGAGGTCACAGTCACAGTCAGAGTCACAGTTATTGTTCCATTTACATTCACACAAAACACTAAATTGGGTCAGACATAATCGAAATATTCAAGGACACTCCTTTTCATTAGTAAATAAATTAACCATTCTCTTTGGTTTTTGTGGCCTATTATCTGCCTTACAGCTGTACGCGGAGAAGCAATTTCCTGGCAATCCTGAGCAGCAGGCTGTGCTCATACATCAGTTGCAACGGGAGCATTATCATCAGTACATGCAACAGCTACATCTGCAGAGCCAAATGCAATCGAATCTGAGTCAAGAGGAACAGCAAACGCTGGAAATGGACAAGGACAAGGACACGTTGCTGCATGTGGAGCTGCAGGAACACAGCGGCGGTGATGCTGCTGGCGGCGGCAACAACAACAACAATAATAATAACAATAACATCAACAACCGCAGCGACGGCAGCAGCAGCACCGTCAACAACAGTCCTGGCCATTCAGATCTCGTCCAGGCCATGGATACGCTGCAGCTGAGCACGCTCGAGTCCCAGCAGCAAGAGCAGCCCGAACAGCTGCAGGAGCAGCTCGAGGGCGAGGGTAACGAGGAATACAGTGAATATGTGATGATACGTCCGGCCAAAATATGGACGCGGCCCGATATCGAACAGTTCAAGACTGAAGTTTCTGCCGGCGATGGTGATGGCGTCATTACCATTGGACACGGCGATACGGTTACAGTGCGTATATATAGTTATATATAAATATATCATCTTATAGACTGATCATGAATTGTTTCCTGTTCCAGGTGCGCGTGCCTACAAATATGAATGGCAAATGCATTTTTTGGGAATTTGCCACCGACAATTACGATATTGGTTTCGGAATATATTTTGAGTGGGCAAAGCCAGTTACCAGCGAGGTGACGGTGCACGTTAGCGATAGCGATGAGGACGACGAGTGTCTGGATGAGGATTATCTATCGACCACCGAGGATTTGGAGTCGGGTTCCATGTCGCAGGACCGCAATACGCTGGACGCCCAAGCTGCGGCGATGGCTGCCAAGCCACCCATTTCCATTATTGTGCCAATATATCGGCGCGAGTGCTACAACGAGGTCTATGTGGGCTCGCATTCGTATCCCGGCGAAGGAGTTTACTTGCTGAAATTTGACAATAGCTACAGCATTTGGCGTTCCAAAACGCTTTATTATCGCGTCTACTACGAACGATAGGGCCAAAGGAAAGCAAAACGAAAGGAGTCTAGTATTAGTCTACACTTACCAAGTGCATATACATACATACATACTTATACATACACATATTTGGGGGTGTATAGTCCAAAATATTAGACATATTTCTATGAATTTCGAAAGTCATATAAGCTGTTAGGAAGGATGTGCGTCGCGTGTTTTATGTTGTGGGGTGTGTATACATAATGTGCATATGCAACATTTTAGGAACTACACTTTTCCACTTGCAAGCTGATTAAATCATTATTATTTATTATATAGTTTTCAAAATAAATTAATATGTACTAAAAAATGTCGAACAAAGTCTATTTACCACCGTTATATAGGGAGGGACAGAGAGGGAAGACAATTGGCGCTAAGAATTTTGAAATGGTGCAACGGCCAGCGCTACCAGATGTGCTAGATGTGGGTTGGTTGACAGCTATCGTACGATTGCAGCTTGAGAATCTCAGATTGTAGCAGCTAACATATCATTTTTATTTTGTTATGTTTAGATTTATTTTCATTGGATTTTTATGCAAAACTTCAACCTTTTACAACGTGTTGATAAAACCAGCGCTGCCAGAAGTCAACAGTCAGTGCTGCCAGATAATTTGAATGCGCGCCAACAGCTGTTTAACAAGGCAACGCTGCCAGATATGCACTACATTTATCATGTGTTGTTGTTGTTTAATTTGAAAAGCCGGTAAATTTGTGTTATGTATGCAGCCGCATCGCAATTGCCTAAATATCCAGCTCCATGCAGTCGACTTGGCCAACGTTTGGTCAGCTATATGCTAGGCATTGAAACCTCCTGCGATGACACAGGCATAGCCATAGTGGACACATCCGGTCGGGTGCATGCCAATGTGCTTGAGTCTCAGCAAAAGTTTCACACGCGGTAACAAATACTTGACATTCTGAATAAAAGAAATAGATTTATATATATAAATTTCCAGTTACGGCGGCATTATACCGCCACGTGCTCAGGATCTTCATAGAGCGCGCATTGCAGCTGCCTATGAGCGGTGCTTGGAGCAGGCGCAACTGCAGCCGGAGCAGCTCACCGGGATTGCGGTGACCACACACCCGGGCCTACCCTTGAGCTTAATTGTGGGTCTGCGCTTTGCCCGTCATCTGGCACGCCGCCATCGTAAACCTATGTTGCCCGTACATCACATGGAGGCGCATGCCTTGCAGGCGCGCATGGAGCATCCGACTGAAATAAGTTATCCATATCTTTGCCTGCTCATTAGCGGTGGCCACAGCCAGCTGGCGATGGTTAATGGGCCTGGTCGGCTGACGCTGCTTGGCGAAACACTGGATGATGCACCCGGCGAAGCATTTGATAAGATTGCACGACGTCTGCGGCTCTATGTGCTGCCACAGTATAGACTGTGGAATGGCGGGCGGGCCATCGAACATGCTGCTCGGGATGCCAAAAACCCGACTGCATTCGAGTTTCCATTGCCATTGGCGCAACAGCGCAATTGTAATTTCAGCTTTGCGGGCATCAAGAATAATTCCTTTCGTGCCATACGCAAGCAGGAGCGCGAGGAGCGAACACCTCCAGATGGCATCATTAGCAACTATCGGGACTTCTGTGCGGGTCTCCTAAATGCAGTCAGTCGCCATCTGATGCATCGGACGCAACGTGCTTTAGAGTACTGTTTGGAGCGGCAGCTCTTTGGAGCAGCGCCGCCCACACTTGTCATCTCGGGGGGCGTGGCGAACAATGATGCCATTTTTGAGAATCTGAAGCATTTGGCTAGCGCCTACAACTGCCGCTGCTATCGACCGTCAAAACTCTACTGCTCCGACAATGGAGTCATGATTGCCTGGCATGGCATCGAGCAGTTACTCCAAGATCCGAATCAGAGCCTGCGACTGGACATTGACAAAATCGACGTAGCAGGCAGCGCTGGATTTCAGCAGTCGATGATTGCCGATGTAGAACTGGCGGCCATCAAATGCAAGTGGATTAAACCGCTCTAGTCGAGCACGATCTTTAAAAGAGAAATCTATATACCATAACTGTTGTAATATAAAAGTAATAAAACTGATAAGATTTTGTTAATATATGCAGACAATGCTGATTAAGTCATCTGAAGTTAGTATAGCAAGTCATATAATGCGTATATTTGTACGATTCATCCTATGTCCACGCTCACTGCAATAACTATTTAAGTACTTAACTTTTGATAGTCATAGAGCTAAGAACAAAGACTCTACAGTAATCAATAAAAACAAAGAAAACGCTCCACTTTGTCATATACATTATAGCAAAGTCCGATCCGATATATAAAATATATAAATGGTATGGCACTAAAGTAATTGATAATGAGTTAAGCAAAACAGCTTACGATGAATCAACTTTATAATATACGATGACTGTTGGAGTCCCATACGCATACATATATACTGATTGATTCAATGTGTAGCCCTGACCTAAGACAAGTTTTAAAAATAACTGGACAATACACTTGGGCAGCAAGCCTAAGTATAGATGACATTCGATTTATATATAGAAAGAATACTTCATGAATCTATATATAGAAAGTATACTTAATGAACCCACAAAAAGGTTTTGGTTCTGCATCTCTTTCTAACTCATAGCACTCGTCAAACTCTGTGGGTCCATATAAGATAGTAAGGAATTAACTTGTATATATATAGAGACACATACGAATATTGATCTATCTACACTTTTATATGGAAGAGACATCCTTGTATAGATATAGATACATCCCTATTCACACATATGTAGCTTAATCCAACAATAGATATATCATTCTATAGATATAGATACATCCCTTCATAGATATAAACACATCCATTTAGATATATAGTTACATCTTTATTCAGATATAAATGTATCCTTCCATAGATATCGATTCATCCCCATCAAGTTAGAGATAAGTCCTTATGCATCCTCATACATCCTCACATAGATACCTTTGTTTAAGCACATAGATCTCCCCGCTTCATCGACCCAAAGTTGATTTCATTTAGTTCGTTTATACATTATATATATATGTATATATATTTGTTTTGTTGTTTTCTTTCTTGTTTTATTATATTATCTGAAATCAATAATGTCAAATCTCTAATGTCTAAAAAAAAAATGTAAAATTTGATAATGTATACATATAAAAATATTAAAAAATGCATTAGTTCTTCTTCCATCTGCCGACTTCGTTTCTGCTTCTTCTTCTGCTACATTTTTTGTTTTTGTTTTTTATGCTGAACTACAATACAATTTTTGTTTTTGTTTATCTCTTTTGCTTCTTGTTTTTGTTTGGATTACTTATATAGAGTTTAGTTTTTTTTTTTTT